TTCATCACAATTTGTTTTGCATTATACAGTGACGTTCCATGTACCAAAAAGTATGGTCTGCATTTTTTAGGTTCTCAGAGGATCAGAACTCATTTTAGCGCAGCTCCAATATCATTTTGGAACTTCTTTCAAATGGAGTTGGTTTTCAGCATTACATGTGTCTATATGTATGTTCCTTTTAACTCCCGAATATATTTCCTGTGCATGATCTTCCTTGCTAATGTAGAGGGACAGGGTATTTTCTGGAGTCCTGGGTTCAGGGTGAGCCTGTGACTTTCCCACGATGTGGTAGGAGTGCAGAGAGCCTCCGTGGGGCTCTGAATCCTGCCCTCCCCCTCCTCTTCTGGGTTTTCAGGTGTGTTATTTTAATTTGCTAAACATTTGTCTTTTGTTTTGTTCCTGAAAAATGATACTTTGACATCAGTTAAATTGTTTAGAATATTTTTTTGGCCTTTAAAAAATGCTTTTAGATGCTGAAGAGAAATGCCAGTAACATGAAGCAACTTTGTAAGGGCTCCCAGATAGCTTTTCCTTCTGATGCCAGCCCTGGTCTCTTTCTGTAACTTATTATGTCAAACTGGTGACATTTTCTGTTGTGTGTAAACATAAGTAACCCAGAAATATTTACCAAAGCATTTTCTATTGAAATTACTTACCTTTGGGTACTTTGGGTCCATTCCCATGTGGGGTCCTGATCCATAGGCTAGGGAAGAAGAAATACATCTAATGTTACTCAGATTCTTTTTTTTTTCCCCTTAAAGATTAGAGGGAGTAGTAAAACTCCATTAAAGTATTAAAGGGAATAGTAAAGCTGGTGATTTCCTTATTATGGGTTTATTACAAGTACTTATATATTGGTTTGTTTTAGGTTTGGCAGCTATGGTTGTGAGTTACTTCGCTTCAGCATTCTCTTACCACAGAGTAATCTTTTGTACATCATTCATAATGATCTGTCAGTTTTGTGGAATTTTAAAAAAGGATTGAAAGACATTGTGCGGTTCAACTGAAAATATATTTGAAATTTTCGTTATATTTTTCTGAAAGAATTGTGATGAAATACATGTGAATGTTTAAAAAGCAAAAGTCATTGTAGTCAAAGTTAGCCAAACATGAAAAGACAAAGGTAGTGGATGACGGGCACTGCCAACTTGGCACCACCCTAGTGGGAAGCCTTAGACTGCTGGAGTCCTCTTGGGTACAATGGGAAATTTTGGAAACAAGGGTAGAGAAAGGCAAGGTAGGAAGACCCCACCCCTCCCCACCACCAGAAAAAAAAAAAAAGACATCCTTAAAAGGAAGGAGGACACATTTTGAGACATGGGGGAGAATTGACTTCATCTATTTCACAACTTTCAAAGGTCAGGGAGGAGCTGTGAAAAGACAGTCATGAAAATTTTTTCATTAGAGTGCCAACACTGAGCTAAGCTTGTGAGAGTTAATTGATATAATGTACCAACTTTATGAGGTAGATTCTATTATTTTGCCCTGTATAAAATGGGGATACTTCTGGAGTCCATCAGCCACCGGATAATGGGCTGGCCGACTTCAGGGTCTAAACCTGTAACTGCTTCCACTGGGTTTTTTCTTAATAATCATTGTAATAATAGTTGTAATTTTTGTAGTTAATAATAAGCTAATTTGTAGTTGTAATTTTGTAGCTAATTTAATATTTTAAAATTTTAAATATTTTAAAAATTTAAAATATTTAAAATTTTAATTAGCTAATTTAATAAGCTAATAAGAGTTCATGAATCTTTAGGAACAAACAAATCACTTCTTGATACAATAAAAAACATGCTTCTGATATTTTGATAACTGTATATTAAATATCTCTACCACTGTGCAGAAAGGTTGAAAATTTTGATACAAAAATACCATTAACGGGTTAGATTTGTTTTTAGTACATTGAAAATATTGTGTTACAAGCAGATTGGATCTAAGATGCTCTGATTTCAGGGGTAAGGTAACTGAATTCATTGGACCTGAGAAAGTATCAAGTGATATTTTTGTCTTTTGTAAGTAATGTATCATGGACATATTTCCTTCATTACAAAGTGGTCTTTAGGAAATAGGGGCCAAACCCTTTATTCTAAATGATGTATTTCTATTCTTAATGACTTTTTGTTACACATCAATGGTTTAATGGTTACAGAGAAGATTCTAGAACATTTTTTATGTCAACATTTTTTTCACCACAACGTTATGCAGGATTTTCCACTTGACTTTCTGCTCTTTCTCAAACCCAGACTGAAATCACAGAAGTGGGGAAATATACCACTTTCCTCTTACCAAATAAAATGCTTGTTTCTGTCTTTATTTATACATTCTCACAGTTGCCTGAATCCAAAACCACACAGGCCGAAAGTAAAATATAAAATAGTTTGCTTGGAAAACATTTGCTGTATGAAGTAATTGTCACTAAATACTTTGGATCGACAAACTGGTAAATTTCAAATGGTTTTGAATAATACTTCTGCTAGTGTAAAATTGGCAAAATTTAGTGAATTTCAATAAATGGGAGCGCAGGAAAATAAAATCTAGGAGAATTTTATTAACTAATATAGCTCTGAATGATTTCAGTTCTGGTTAACTTCTCTCTCAACAGCCTTTTATTCCATGCATACCCATGGTATCATATTAGTTTTGCCAAGAATTGCTTTTGTAAATCAGTTTTACATCTTCTTTTTAAATATTCTATAGTTTTATATATTTGTGGTTGATATTTATAAAAAGCAATAGTTCTTGGCATAATTAGGCATAGAATATATGACTGCATATCTCTGAATTACATTTTAATGTTTTACTAACTTGTTAAGACAATAGGAAAAGGAGTCTTTTTTTTTTTTTTCAAATCTGGAATCTCCCCCAAATACTCTCAATATCTGATATGCTGAAATAACATAAGATTTGGGGCTATGTCCTAATAGAGACCAAGCTCAGTATTATAATTATTTGGATAATAGGGTGTCAAATCAGATCCAGGGTGTGAATTGGGGGGGCTCTCAAGGGCTCCTGGGAGGTGGAGGTCAGGGTGCCTGAGCATAACTCCATTTGCCCCCACAGTGAGGACGTGGCCTTTCTGGCACTGGAATTGGCTTCAGAAACAGAAGTAGAGGCAGGGTATCTGTAACTGATTGTAACTGACTTGTACTAATATCATAGATTGTGTGAGGGTACAGAGACTTAATAGTGATGAAATTCTAAGCATTAAGGACAGCATGCAGCAAGAAATTCAGCTTCTCAGGTCTTACAGTATCATGGGTAATCGTATGACCCCATTAGAGATTCTTGGGGCCAAAGGACTCTGCGTGACCGCAGCTGCACCACTTTCAACATAGAACAATATATGGCTGTCTTGTATCTGATAAGATTTTACAGACAGGTTTTATTTCAGTTCAGGACTTAATCTAAACTTATAGTGAGTGTGTGTATATGTATATTTGAATGGGAATTGATTACAGATGGTGTCATGCCAAGTTATGGTCTATCGAAATGGAGGCCTTTATTTGGAACAATATTGATCTTAATTGATTGCATTGAGAATACGCATTTTCTGCCTTGGAAGGATACAATTCATATCATTCTATGTTCTTTCTACAAAAACTCAGTTATTTAATTTTCCTTATTTTTATGCTCATGTTTTATAATGTTACTTTAAAATTTATATGGTTTTATATTATTTTCTAATTCGTATGTTTGTAAAAGCTTGTGTTTTCAACTAGACTACAAGCCCTTTGTTGATAGTCCTTGCTCACATACAACTTTTGTTCTTTGCAAAGGGTGTAGTGCCGTGGCAAAATGAATGGAGCCAAATAAAATCAACATGAATTCCAGTTTATGATTCAAGTTCAGATTTTTAAAACTAGAACTATATGCATGTGTCTTGCATTATAATTGTGGCTAACACATTGACCAATATTTCGTTAATAAAGTCAAGATGTGAAAATCAAAATAATGGTCTACTCTCCCTGTAATAGAAGATAACTTGATTTCATTGACAGTGGCTTCTCTACCATGTGCCTTGATTTACTGAGGAATACTGCTTTCTCTCAGAGCCCTGATAATGCAGAGGGCTTTCAAAGAAATACTGATGGGTCCCAATTTCCTTGTCTTTCAAATTCCTTTTTGGCCATCTGTCTAGTTACTTATTTCCAATGTTACTTATTTTAACTGAAGTGTCCTCGAGAAAGGAACCAAGAAAAATGAATAAAAAATGGAAATTGGTTAGTGCCATCAGTGTTTGCTTTGGCTGGTAAAAGATTATTTTGGTAAATGCATTGAATGACTGTCAGTAGAACTTCTTGCCCATTAATGAATATGCTAATGTTATTCTCAAATTGATACAATGAACATTAATATTCTCTGAATCTTGCTGGAGAACTTCTACATCTAGGTTGAGCCATGTGAAAGAGTTCTCTATATTTCTTTCTGTCCTCAAGCTGTGACCTGCATATTTTTCATAGTTTTATGAATAAGGGAATCATTAGGAGAAAGATTGTTGTATTTTATAGAAGGAATTAAAGTTCCTGGGTGTTTCATGGCTCAGTTTGGAGGATATTAGTTAGTCTTATACTAGTTTTTAATTATGGTTGTGAGGTGGTGGGGGTCTTTGTTGTACTGAATCTGAACGCCTATGACTTGACAGTTTTTCTTGCATTATTCATTTTAAATAGTATAGGAATATGTTTAAATGAAGTATACTTCTTATCACTTATGTTGGTCTGAAAGAAGACCAAGGTTAATATTCTCATAAGTGTTTCTTTTTGAAAGCCTTTATTTAGAATTTTAACTATCAGTAGATGTTCATATAATATTGAATCCCATAAATTTTCTCTATTCCAAATTGGATTATTATCAGTAGCAGTGTTATACTGTAAGTGGATGATATAGGTTTGAAATTATGCATTATTTACAAGTTAAAAATCCAATCAGGACTTATTCATCTTTAGTGATACAGTCTATACTTTTTAAAATTGAAATTCTACTTTATTACTTTTTAGGGAATGCCAGGATTTCCTGGAAACCAAGGATTAATGGGACAGAAAGTGAGTATTAATGAAACTTGAAAGATTTGGGGCTGGATCTGTTTATTAGAAGGGCAAAGTGGTAATGTCTTCACATAGAATACATTCTTACCACCTTCATGGCAACAGTTAATTGTTCAAATATGATAGAACTTCAGAAGCTATTATTTTGCCTTTATAATTAGTTTTTGTTTTATATGGATAATATTAATTTGGGTTTATACATGTGCTTTCTGTTTTACTTGGCTACTTTTCTATCTTGTGCTCTTTGACCATCCTTTTGGGATAATTTTACTACTTCCTGAACTTATATCTTGGTAACAACCTTTCAGATTTTATTTAATTTTAAATATCTTTATTTTAGTCTTGGTTTTGAGGGATCATTTTGTAGGGTATACAACTCAAGTTTGGTGATTATTTCACTGAAACATGCTGAGGATTTTCTTCTATTGTCTCCAGGATTCCCTTATTAACTATGAAACATCTGCTCTCATTCTAATTACTGTTCTTTTGTAACTGATCAGTCCCTTTCTTTGGGATTCTTTTAAGGTATTTTATTTGTCTTTCATGTTCTAAAACTCATTACAGTGTATCTAGATACGCATTTCTCTTTATTCGCCCTGGGGAGAATTCAGTTTTCTTCCTGGCTCTGTGGAATTATTTCCACTAACTCTGGAAGACATCACCTGTTATTTCCAAATTACATCTCTTCTAATCTTTGTTCCCTCCTTCTGGAATTACAGTTAGATGAATTTTATTCCTTCTCATTTTGTCCTCCATGCTTCTGAAGAGCTTCTTATTTTCATATCCTTGATTCTAGCATTTGGGTTAAATTTTTTGGATATATTTCCTACTGTAGATATTCTTCCTTTACTGTGTCTACTCTGCTGTTTAAACCATCAGTAGATTTAAAGCAAAACAATCATACTTTTCATTTCTAAAAGTTCAGCTTTTTAATAAGACCTTTTTGTTCTTGACAGCCTCTTGTTCCATTTATGGTCCTAATCATCTTTCAGGATTCCATTCTTTAATTTGTAAAGATCTCATATATTCTAAAATCTGTTGCTCACAATTTCAGTATCTGCAATTTGTTATTTCTGTTACCTCTCAGTCTTATGGCTTACTGCCTCTTTCTTGATGAAAATGAGCTCATTGCTTCATGTTAATTGGTGTGAGTGCTGTCCGCCTAATTGGGGCATGGAGAGCTGCCTCCTGCTGGTAGCCGTGGATATCACGTCAGCCCCTGTAAGAGTCCCGGGTCGTCCCAGATATTAAAGATTCCCACTCTCCCCCCATGGCTAGCCCACCATTCAGTTTCTCATGCATTAGACACCTCCAGCCTTGTTGGCTCCTGCATCTCTATCTCTGGCAAGATTTCTGCATAGATCTAAATCCTCATAATCATAGTGTCCACTCAGAGTATATTTTATTAAAATGCGGGATCTTTGAAGACCTCTCCAACTTCTTATGAGACCAGCACTATCTCCCAGAGGATATTCTTTCCAGGTTTTTGTTCTTGTTGTTCAGGATTCAAAGACTCCCTTGGAGTACCTAGTTAGCCACAGTCCAAGAAATTGAAGTAGACATGCTATTCTATATCCTGTATTTTCCTTAATTTGTGTTTACTATCATGTTTCTTCATCTGTGATAAATAAGAAAATTTTTCACATGATTTTTCCTCCCCCCCGTTGTCTCACCTCACCAACTCTGTGTGAACTTCCAGATCTTCGTTTGAAACAATGACAGTAATGCTCTTGATTTTCTCATAAAAATATATGACTTAGTGATTTCACAGACCTTAGGCCCAAATCTTTAAGGTGTTATGTTCCTGATTTTTCCATCCTATGTTGCTTCTGTTTTACAGTACAGAAAGGGGAGGCAGACGGGGCTGATTGGTATTGAATTTTCATTTCATAATGCTTTGGTGGGAAATTCCTGGAAATGGATTGATAATTCAGAATTTTAAATTTGATCTGTATTTGATTTTTAGGGAGACATTGGGCCTCCAGGACCACTAGGAAAAAAAGGAGCTCCAGGGATTCCTGTATGTTAATGTCATTATTATCGGGTGTTTGAAATACATTTTCTATGTACGAGGAGTTCTTATTTTGGAGTTTATAAAACTGGGGGGAATCCAACAGTGAGATTTTGGGGGTCCACAAATCCATTTGTATGAAAATGATTATGTCCATTTTTCCAGAAACCAGAAAACAAATATTCTATCTATTCACTAAAAAAACTAAGTACCATAAAAAGTATAAAACTTTAAATGTTCTTTTTTCATTTTTTTAAAAAAATTACACATTTATTACACTAATGAGGGAGAATATATTCAGAAGAGGTAGTATAGGAAGATCCTCAATTAGTGAACAAATAATTTTGGAAGTTTTGAGACCGGAAGGGACATATGAGTTTGATATTAGAAATTATGAAAATCCCACTGTATGTGTGCAAGATTGCATAAAAATTGCTAGAAGTGATGCTGATTTTAACCTGTGATTCAAGTTACCTATAATAGCTTTTTCTTTAAGTTAAATGGATATCTTTCATGTTTAACAGTTTATGACTTTATGTAAGTTAAAAACATATTTTATCTATTGCTTGGTGTGAAAGAGCTGGTGAATTTTGCACATAAGAGTAAATAAGAAAAATATTGTGCATTAGATATGAATTTGACTTTTGGGGAGGTTTAAAAGAAGACTGTTCCCTTTAAAATGGAATATTCTACCTCCACCTTCACTACCACGTCATTTGTTCATTGAAAGCGTAAACTTGGTGGGGTGCCTGGGTGGCTCAGTCAGTTAGGCAACTGCCTTCGGCTCGGGTCATGATCCCGGGATCCTGGGATTGAGCCCTGCATCAGACTCCCAGCTCCGCAGGAGGCCTGCTTCTCCCTCTCCCACTCCCCCTGCTTGTGTTCCCTCCCTCACTGTGTCTCTCTCTGTCAAATAAATTAAAATCTTAAAAAAAAAAAAAAAGAATAAACTTGGTGATTTACCAGTATCTGACTTAGCTTCCAGAAACTGAAGGTATTGGCTAGAACTTCACTGAACTTTGAGAATATGTATATGTAACATACCTAATATTTTATACACAATGCGATGAGCCAGTATGTTTTACATTTTATAGTTGCAATAATATGCTATGTTGATAGCAAAGCGTAGTAGTGATGACATGGTATTTTCAATATGATCCTATTGAGATTATGTTTTCTGATGATATTAATTGCATATTTTTTTGCTCATCATGTTTCCTTTGCTATGTTTAAGAGAAAGCAAATGTTTTTAATGTATGTAGTGGTATTTAAAGTAGAATCTAAATTAAATTAGTTCCTTGTTGCTAGAGTAATTATTGTCATATTTTGAATTATATGGTTAGTTAAAAATATGACCATTTTGTAACTTGAAGAGAGATTGTTAGATTCAGAGAATTTATTAGATGGTAACTCTTTCAAAATATTGTTTAAGAAAACAGAAATTGAATGTAAAGTTGACCAGGATGACATCTATGAAGAAACCTAATTCTTAGCCATCTTGACAAAAGGAAGAAAGTGAGAATGTAGGAAAAAAAAAATCAACTTTTGTTTACATTTTTCTTTTACTAGCTTTCCAGGAATTTTTGCTATTTGTAGGTTATTTGAGCAACCACGTTAGGAAGGCTTTGCTGGCCTTCATGCTATCTTGTGTAGATTTTTTATTATCCTTTATTTGGATGTATGTGGGAAACTTTTCCCCATATTGTATTATTTTTATAGCAGATTATTATGAGAATGTGTACCTTGGAAATGGATTTAATATTTTTCTAACATTGTTTTCTAAGTCACTCTTGAAACTTCCACTTAAAAATGTAGGGTTTGATGGGACATGATGGCTCGCCCGGTCAGCCTGGAACACCAGGATCTAAGGTAAACAAAATGAAACTAAATAAGATAGAAAACTTTATGGAAAATGACCATTTATGTACTCAGGAAAACTTTTAACTATACTGATTTTATTTTAAATGTGGTTTTAGTTCTATGAATGGTCATTTGTAAGAATGAAATCTTAGAACAAAAACTAAGCATATGAAAACAGGCTGATGTAAAGCAGGTCTGGTTTAAGCTGGAAAGTGTCCGAATCTCTCACTACTTGACCCCCTCCTCCTCTCTCATCATCCCAGGGGCACTGAGGACCGTGTAGAGTTGTATGGAGTTTGGTGCCAAGCCCCACCAAATGGAGAGGGTTAGTAGTTAGGATTGAGGATAACTTTTTACCAGTTCCTAAGTCATCATCTTGATATTTTTATTTGGTAGAATGTATATGGAATTTTTATTGTAAAATGCCTCGTCCTGAGTTTTATTAGGCATTCTCTCCTTCAGCACTGTAAGATAGTATATTATCTTTACTTTCATTTTTAAAAAATGTCAGGCAAGCCTGACAAATGTGTTTAGGATGTCAGGTTAGGTTATTCTCAAGATAGAACTGAAACTCTGAATACCACGGTTGGACCATTTTCTAGGTATATGGAATCCTGTGCTAAGACAGCTATTTTTTTTTTCTTAGTTTATTAGAGGCTCAAATCAAGTATGTTCTGGCTAGACTCAAACTATTCTCAACTATTTAACGGTAGAATGTAGGACAACCTTACAAAAGGAAATGATGGAATTGCTCTTTTGGAAGAATTAAACCTTTAACTAGACATTGTCCCATGGGAATAGACCCTGGGATACAAAATGAGTAGATGAGTAGATGACCTAATCTACTCTACTTTTAATTTCACAACTACTTAGAGAAAGAAATAGGATAAAACATCATGGGAGCCCAGTGATGAGGGAAAAGTAGCTGCCTTTTCACCAGTGGTGGATCCTTGTGAATCCCTGGAGTATTGTGTGTCCTAGCAGTAGTAAGTATGCACAGAATTGGTATAAAGCCCTTACCCAGTAGAGATCCTGCATAATATCTCAAAGTCATTTTCTAAGAAGATACAGAGTAAGAAGATACATAGTAGTTGTAACTGGGTTACAGCAGACTCCCCATGGTGTTCTGGATGCTCTAATTCTTATGAATTCAGCCTAAGATTTCATCAGCTTGTTTTTATCAGCCACTTCACATTGTTAGCTCACACTGAGCTGGAGGTCATTAAATCTGGAATTTTCATAAAAGGTTTTAGAACAATACTGTATGGCATCCACCACTTGAGTAGATTCTGCTGATACGGCTGGGAAAGCTGATATAGCTGTTTCCAGGATCAGTTTGCTTATTTTTACATGAATTACTGTAAAGTTTGTTTTCTCTCATCTTGTACTTGTGCAATTCTTTTGTTAAAAATAGATTCAAAGTGTTAAAATTATACCTCTTGAATGTAATCTTTTCAGTGAGACACTTCAACTCTTTCTTGTGTAGTATATTAGCTCAGGGGTTCTGCAGAAGGCCAGATAGTAAATATTTTAGTCTGAGAGCCATACAGCTTCTGTTGCAACTACTCAACTCTGCTATTATATTGCAAAAGCAGCCATGGACTAACTGTGTGGGATGTGCCTGTGTTCTGGCAAAACTTGATTTACAAAACCATGCATTGGGCTGGATTTAGCCCATGGGCCATAGTTTACTTACCTCATGTTAGTTTATCTCTGCCTGTTTTGTCAACTAATAAGTTTGTAAACTCTGCCTTCAATATCAATTGGTATGAATTTTAGGGTGGGACAAAAAAGTTGTATTAAATAGGGCAAGGGTGAGGCTGAAACTCTATGGTGGATCTTTAGAAAACATCTAACTTGGTTTATAATACCTTTTTTTAAAAAAGCCATTAAACCATACTATATTCTAGTTTTAAAAATTGTTATCTAAATGACATTAAGATATGTTAACATAATCAAGTCCTGTAACTGTAACTTGCAGCAAGTCTTGTCACCTCTGTGAATTTCTGCTTAATCACTTGTAAAAGTAGAAATTTTATGGAACCATTGTTCAATGGCTTAATAATGCTGTTACGTGCTGAATGCTTTAAGTCCAAATATTGTGTTCATATGTTTCAACATGAGCAACCTAGAAAACGTTTCAAAAGCTGAAAATGAAGTCGATTACCTTTACTTATTAGTACACCCAGTTTGGCTCTTGCTTTTGCCAGATTTTGGGTATCAAAGTATATTTGAAAATGAACACTCTCTTTGACAGTCTCCCCTTATTAGCCAGCAGATGTGTTCTCTCTATATATACCCAACCCCTTTTATACTTTTATATTCTTTGCCCTGTCAAGTTGGTCTTGCCCTCCCAGCTTCTATTAGAAAGGACTGCACTCGAATCCTGAAAAAGAGCACTAAGTAAACATTTTCTGATTCATATTTTTAAAAAAAAAAACCACTGTACATTTGAAGCTAATTTTCTTTCAGTTGCATGCTGAAGGTGAGTCATGCTGAGAAAATGAAACAGGGCAAAGATGAAGATTCTCAGTGTATAGGACATTGTTAAAATACATGGCTTTGGTCTGTGGAGTATGGAGACCCAGCTAATTAGCACTGGTTCCTGAGGTTTCATAGCTTGTCCCTTATTTGTAGCTGCTAGCTTTTAAAACATGCTTTTAGAAAGCTTTATAAATATGGGGACCCATTCCTTGCCTAAAAGAGTTTTTCTTAATAAGTAGGCTTAACATACAGAGTCTATGTTTCAAACAGTTGGAGAGTTGAAAATGTAAAAATTATTTTAAATGTATTCTCTTAAGTGTTTATATCAGATATATTGTGAAAATATTTTTTAAAAATCAAATGGTTTGATGCATTGACAGGGAAATAAAGGTGAACCTGGACTTCAAGGGATGCCTGGGGCTTCTGGACTAAAGGTAATTATCATTTGAGGCATTTGGAAATATATTCAAAGAATTATAAGTCCCCTTCATTATTTGATGTATCCCTTAAGAAAAGTTATATGAAATGAAGGATTATCTATATTACAACATGAAAGAAAATGGCCAATGTGAGGTTTCATTTGTTTTTTGGACACTTTATCATAGTTTGGGTTAACAGACATAAAATACCCTTTGGCTTGATTTTTCTAGAAATGGTAAAAGCCATATGCTAAAATGAACCTCCTCTTTGGTCCAAAGAATATCACTGTCTTCTATAACTGAAGGAAAGTGTGTGTGGCTCTCACAAGTGGTGCTATTCTTTGTATGCTGATTGATGGGATTTAGTGTGGGGTCTCACAGCCCTTTAACCAGTTCCCTCCAAACCAAATGGTTGGAGGAACCAAATGGTTGATGTTTATTTCAATAGGATTTTCAAATCTCTTCAAGCCTTTAACAATCTACAGTAATATTCAACGGTTCAGGAATGAGCATAATAAGTAAAGAGGACAAAGCTCTTTCCACAAAAGAGAGTAGGCTTTAGTTAATGTGATAGAGTTTGGGATTAATGGTAGAACTCAAACCAAAAAACCATGAAGCAAGTTCAGGATTCCATCCTATATCTTACAGATATGACCTAAATGTCATTGACACATCATCACTATAACTTTCAGAAAATTTCCTTATGTAAGACTTTTAAGCAATCTTTATTTCATAAAGGAAATAATCCCTTGGGATTATCCATGGGATGATGGAGAGCGGAGGAATTAAGTTGTAGAATGTTACCTCTACTGGAAATAGCTCAAAAATTTACTTCTAAAAAACAGTATTCCTTATGTATAAAGAAAAAAACATAAGTGTGTTTACTATTTAGCTACAAAGATGTTCACCCCAATATTGTTTATAAAAGTAAAAATTGTGAAAACTAATGTTTAATAATTGGCATTTTATTAAAACAAATATGGTATATCAATACAGTTAAGTACTATTCTGTATTTAAAATTACATTTTAAAAACATAACGGCAGATGAAGAACATTGCAGTATTATATTTTGTGGTAAAAGACATTCTAAAATGACGCATGCAGGGGCGACTGGGTGGCTCAGTTGGTTAAACGACTGCCTTCGGCTCAGGTCATGATCTTGGAGTCCCTGGATCAAGTCCCACATCGGGCTCCCTGCTTGGCAGGGAGTCTGCTTCTCCCTCTGACCCTCCCCCTTCTCATGTGCTCTCTCCCTCTCTCATTCTCTCTCTCTCTCTCAAATAAATAAATAAAATCTTTAAAAAAAAATAAAATGATGCATGCATACTGAGCAAATCTTAGTAACTAAATTGTTTATTGTGTGCTTGTGAGAGGTAGAGAGAAAATCTATAACAAAGTGAAAACAATGAGTAATGAGATTTTCAGTGATTTTAGTTCTGTTTACTCACCAGTTTTGTAACAATAAAACAGGTTCTTTAGTATGTGTGCTGCCGAAGAGATCACAATAAAATAGGTTCTTGAAAGTAGCAATATGAGAATAAGCAGTTTCAAGGAAGAAGAGAAAGTTAATAAAAGAAAAGATACCTATGTTTATTATCACTACTTTATCATTTACTTTCTTGTTGAAGCTATAAAATAAAATAAAAATGATAAATATTTATAAAATTTTAAAACATTGCTATCAGAATGGTTTAACTAGCAAAGATAGGAAAAAGTGTAAGAAGTTTTATCAGGACTCCGGTTATATTTTCATTCTTTACTATGTCTGCAGTAATAACTCTAAATGTCAACTAATTTTGTAACCATGGATTATAAATTGGAGATATATGTAGGGATAAAAACAGTGGTGTTTTTCATAAGCAGTAGGTCTACAATCTTCATGTAATTTCTATGTTACCTAGGGAGAACAAGGAGCAGTAGGTCCCCCAGGAGAACCAGGGTACCTGGGTTTACCTGGAATTCAAGGAAAAAAGGTATGCATTATTTAGGAGATATAATTAACTTTTTAATCAACCTTTTAGCATGGAAGTCTTCCTTTTGTGAAAGTATCATAGTGCAACTGATTATACTTTTAACGATAAGCTGACTTTTATATTTGTATATGTATGATCTGATCCACACCATGTCCACAGCTGTGGTATCTTTCATGTCCCTACATGGGTATGGTCTCCTAGATGGAGGCCTTGGATGAGGGATGCAGCTCAGAAAATGGAAACATATCCTTAAGTAATATCCTATGAATTCAGATTGCTTTGCTGTCAGTCCACATGAATCAGAATTTTATAGGCAAAGTATTCCATGTCAGGCACTCTTACCGAAATGTGAATATTACTGTTACCAAAACTGGGGCAAAAGTGTAAAAAGATAAAAATTACACCCAGAATGTTTGACCATGAAGTTCCTATTTATGAAAGAGTGTATTACATAGAATTTCATTTAAAATGAATTTGAGGAGTTTAAAATACAAATCATGTATACTGATGGAGAATGATTTGGTGAGAGACGAGAGCAACACTTTAGGTTCATAGTCTCTCTCTCTCTCCCCTCAAGTAAAGGAAGCCTGAAGCTGTATCTATATAAATATTATTTGGGGATTTTAAGACACAACTGACTGCCCATTTGTCAAAGAAGTCAATGCCACTGCAAATACATACATTTCAGGCTAAAAGTAAATATACTGGCTTTTATTCTGGAAAGGATACTAACTTACATCCTCATCTTTATATCCCTTGCTGTTTTAGTTTTTCTACCATTTCAGTTTTCTGTTTCTCATGTATTATATACTTGGCCCCTAGGTTATTATAACCAGTATGTTCCTTGACCTTTTTTTCCCCCTAAACAGCTGGTAACACAGGAGAGACAGGGATGACACTCATAGCAGCAATGAAGTGTTAGAAACTTAGTGCATATTAAGTAAACTTGTGAATATATGTTTGGATTTAGAGAAATTTAGTGTTCAAAACTTGCCCTTTAAAAGATCACCTATATTTTGTTTGTTGTAAACACAAAACTCGCTCTTTGTTTAGAGAGCATGGTAAGGTAGAAAAGAAATTTGGAAACAGTGTCCAAGCTCATCTTAGGGCAAGTGCTTATCTTTCTTGATTTGCAGATTCATTATATTCATATTCATATTCATGTCCTTGTAAGAATCAGGACATTGAATTAGTTGATCTCGAATATCTCCTCTAGCTGAAAAAATCCTAGGATTTTTATTTTTATTCTGGAATATGGATTTCCCCCCAAATTCATTTTTGAAGCATATGTTTTCTAAAATACCATTTCAACATAATGTTCTACTTCATTGCGTCCTATAAATGTGTGGTTACAACTGGCTCAATGGAAGATTTTCAGTTTGATTTAATAAAACAACAGTTGTCAAAATGAGTTTTCTCATGTTTGTTTAACCTCAGATGGTGGTCCATACAGAAAATTGCCTTATTCCTGGTAAAATAGAAATTGTAGTCAATTTTCCTTTCAAATGTAAGAGCACAAGACAGTGTTCATTTAGAACATCATTTTGACATAATACAATTTTACTCTCTTCCCAAATACTGTTTTGGAATCAGCTTCTGCTTATAAAGCACTTGTGGAATTTGTATGAGACTAAATATTTTTTTCCTGTGGAAAAATGTTTATTTGAAAGGATACAGAAGATCCCAGATTATGCTAGACATTAAACTGCCTTTTTTGCAGGGGGACAAAGGAAGTCAAGGTGAAAGAGGCATTCAGGTATGTTGCTGGCTTTTTTATTTTTGTTTGACAATAAAATCGGGGCTTTGCTCTTTTTAGTTCTTACGTGGTTTTTCCAGCTCCTTCCTGTTTGCCATCAGTATCTACTTGTTAAGTCCCAGCTTTCTTCTTGTCTTCTAAACGTTTTAGTCAACACCAAATCTCATTTTAAGATTCTTCTTCACTTCAGTGTTGTAGAAAACTTGGGAACCAAATGGTTCAACAAAACAGATATAGATTTTATTACGTTACTTCTAATATCTTTATATATTTATGGAAAGTATGTATGTTTCCAGAAATGCTTTGAAATGGCTTATGGCACAAATCAATTCGATAAGAAACCATTAACACCAAATATAAAACATGTTCAAACTAACAGATGGAAGGAGAATTATACCAAAAAATTAAATCAGGCTGAGGACATCTAATGATTTAGAAGCACGTTTCATTTGGGTGTCTTAGCAACAAAGGCAAAGAACTGTAGAATTTCTGGAGGCATAAAAGGAAATTACAAATTGAAGTAATAGTAGAGTTAGACTCTACTAAGGTTAGGGTCTCAACAATTGTTTTTCAACTGTTGATTCAATTTCTTTTACTGAAGATATTCAGGTATTATCATGATGACTTTAAGTTAATTTTGAAATGAAGAGTGAGGCGAATTTTAAGGAAATGTCTGTGAGGCTCTAAACTTACATATTCCAATTTCCTTCTTGGTACTGAGTTTGGATGTCTCATGTGCACATCAACGTGTCCAAAACAGAACTTGTCACCTTTCCCCATAAACCATCTCCTACTCTGTTCTTTGTCATGGTAATTGGTAGCACTATGTAATGACCTGAGGGAAAAAAGTCTTGAAAGTTATCTTAAAATTCATTCTCTTTTCTCTCCACCTGCAGTTTCACATCTAAGTCTCTCTGGAACTTGGCCCCTTCTTCCTGTCCACACTGTCCTAATCATTTCTTGTCATGGGTCTCAGATTACTGCAGTGTCCTCCTCACTGGTCCCTTGAGTGCAGTCTCCTTCCCTCCTCCCGTGCTCCTACCAGCATGCAATAACTAAGCTACACATCTGCTCAGGAATCCTTCAGTGGTGCCCCACACATTTCAAGATAAAGTCTGTCCCGGAAAGTGCTTCCTTGTTTGACTCTTTTTGGTCATTTAAGGTTGAGTCTTTTTCCCTGTAAGATGCCCCTTCTGTCAGATACCCCTTCCTGTTCTGGTAGTATCCAGCCCAGATATTTAGGTATGCATTTTCATCATTCTTGATTTAATGGCTTATCTTTCCCACCACACAGTAAGCAACATGAAGGTAAACAATACCTTTGTTTCAGTGTCCCTCTGGGCCAGCAAATAGGTGTCACTCAATAAATATTAGGAATTCACTTAAGTAAATGAATAAATCACGATACAAGAGTGATTTAAAATTTAAGTCACTAGATCATTCATTGATTATATTACCTAGGTATTTGTTTTCCTAGAAATTGCTAATTATCTTGTCCAACATAGGGATGAAGCAGTGCTTTAGGGGCTAGGGCCATGGATTATACATGATGGATATCCAAAAGTATTTATTAAAGGGACAAATGTGTTTATATCTTTATTAATTTTCCTCTCTTCTTGTCCTGATTTAAAGATCTTCATGCAAAATGTTTTCTATGGTACTCTTCATACTGAAGTATAATTGACATATAATAGTATATGGTTGACTCTTGAACAGTGTCGGTTTGAACACCCCAGTTCCACTTATATGCAGTTTTTTTTCAATAAATATAGTACAGTATCATAAATGTATTTCTCTTCATTATGATTTTCTTAACATTTACTTTAACTTAATTGTAAGAACAGAATATATTATATATAACATACAAAAGATGCATTAATTGATAGTTTATATTATTCATAAGGCTTCTGGCAAACCGTGGTCTATTAGTAGTTAAACCTGGGGGGAGTCAAAAGTTATACACAGATTTTTGACTTTGAGGGAGGTTGGTGCCCTCAACCTCCGCATTGTTCAAGAGTCAACTATATTGCAGGTGTACAACATAATTATTCAAAATTTGTATACACTGTGAAGTGGTCACCACAATAAGCCTAGTTACCATCTATCAACATACATAGTTACAAATTTTTTCTTTTGATGAGAACTTTTAAGAATCACTCTCAGCAACTTTCAGATATACAATATGGTGTTATTAACTGTAGTAACCATGCTATACACCCATCCCCAGGACTTCTTTATTTTATAACAGGAAGTTTATGTCTTTTGACCCCCTTCACCTATTTCACCCACCCCCTCTCTTTCTGGCAAACATTATTCTGTTCTCTGTATCTATGAGCTTAGGTTTTTTGGTTTGATTTGGTTTGTTTGCTTTATTTTGTTAGATTTCTCATATAGGTGAAATCATACAATATTTGTCTTTCTCTGATTTATTTCACTTTGCATAATGCCCTCATGTTCCATCCATGTTGTCACAAGTGGCAAGATTCCATTTTTCAAAATATATGAGTAATATTCCACATTGTAGTGTATTTTTAATTTTTAAAAATTCCTTTAAAGATGTCTTCTTGTCTTTGCACATGTATAGTCAGCACTGAACATAGTTATGTCATTGAAATTAACAAAATGTCCACAGCCATTGGATTTTTAAATTATTTTCATGTTGTTAATATTAGGGTTGATTTTTTTTTCTTCCTCTGAGAGATTTCTTTCTCTCTTACATCATTTTATATATTTGCATCACTGCTTTGGTGACATTTCTTCTTGACCACAGGTTAATACATAGTTTGTGTCTTAGATGTGATTGCATTATATGTGTGCAAGCTAATCAATAATTTTTATTAAATTTTAAAGGGCCAAAAGGGAGAAAATGGAAGACAAGGGATCCCAGGGCAACAGGTATTTTTGTTTTTTCTGATGGTCAATGAAATAATGAATCACATAACTGGATGGTGTTGGGAGCCGGTTACTTAAAAATGGAAATGAGTGAGAAGGGCAGATGTAGTACACATTCTAAGCACGTGAGGAAGAAAATGTCAGGTGGTGGTGGTGATAATGGTTGGCTTTAATCGTTTGCCTTATATTTTCATTTTTCTGTACTGATTGGTGACTGTTATACTTGCTTTTCCATGCTTTTTTCTGGTCAAGTGAATGGCTAACTATCTTGGAATAGTTATTGGCCAAAGGCAGCCATGCAATGGCAGTATCTCCATATCTACTGTTCAGTCTTGATTTTTTTCTTGAAATATGAGTAGTTGAAGCCTATTAGGAGGGGAGAAATGTACTTGTTTCCCTCTTATGTGTTCAGAGATAGAATTTACTACACTGGAGATTAATTAAATACTATCTTGAGGGACTGTGTTATGGAATAGATTCATAGTAAAATTGTTTTGCTTCTTCCCTGTCTAAACTCTCCTCATTAAGTAGTGTTTGTAGTGAGATTGCCGTATGGCCTGCAAGTTCAGTCAGAGCTAAACTGGACCAAAAGAGGCCTACAAGTAATTTGTACTTGATGTAGCTTGTGTGCTGCTTCATTGCTGATAGTTAAGCTCAGATCCAACTTGGTCCACACTTGGAAGGGCAAAGTGTACACATGGGTCCCTTGGTGGGGTAGACCTCTTTCGAATGTGACATTCAAGAGAGATTCAGTAATTACACTGGTTCTGCAGAGAGGGGGATAAAACTGTGAGTGGTGTCTTTGAGGACAGAGGTCTCTGTGTCCCTCAGCTGGAGAAGTGAGAGACCATGGGGGCGAGGTCTGAAAGCATGTGGTCACAAGGTTATCTATAATAGAGGATGGAAGGTTAGTGCTGGTATTAAGGAGAGTTGAGAATTTAGAAGCTAACACCAAGAGCAAAAGTAAGAGGAGAAATGGCCCGAGTTTGCCTGCATACAACTATGTTCAATAAAATGTGTCTTTTAATTTTCGTGCTCCTCCACTTGACTCTGATCCTCTTGATGACACAACCAGCTCTGTCCCCCTTCTCACTGGCAACACAGACTTGCCCCTTGGTTTCCCTGAGTTAATCACACAATATGTTTAAACAGCTGTTCTCATAGGAGGACCTTCACCTCTTCATTCAACCTCTGCAACTCAGGCCTTTCCCCCCCAAATTCTTATAATAACTGTCTGAAAAGAAGGCTATTTCCGGTGGAGTCTGAGCTCCCAACTTCACTAGGTCACTGGCTTCCAGATGACACTCTCCACAGTTCCCTTAACATGTTTTCTTTTTCCCCTCACTTCTCAAGGGAAAGAGCGGTCTGTTCCCCGGACAGGGTTTGAGTTCCCTAGAAAGCTTCTGCCCTAGATTTGTTGGACGCTGCTTTTCTCACCACCAGGAACTCGGAGCCCTCAGGGAGTACCTGGGGGTCAGAGCAACTCTTGCTTTTCAGCAGCGGAATAGTTGTCCCAAGCTCTTTAAATAAACAGTACTAGTTACCTGTCATCTTACCAAGTGCTGCAAGTGTGTGATTTCTTGGCTTTCGTGTTATGTTTCACTCATGAAATCATCCTGGTGGATTCTCTGACGACAGCTGTTTTTAGTTTCAGCTCTAATTCGGTTCTAGTCCCGTGAACTGAACTCTCCTCTTACCCAAGCTCCAGTTGTAGGGTTATGTCTGGTAGGGAACACCCCTGTGTTTCTTCAGAAATCTCAGTATTTCAAGAATAGTCTTACAGTGTTTTACTTGTCATATTTACATGAAAACTTGGTATTTTTAGGCTCTCATTTTGATTTGAGAATCTGCCTTTCTCTGTGCCATACATGGATTTTTTCCCTAATTTGTCTTCCCTTGTGTCTAATCTGGGTATCCTTGTTCACGGAACTTAGAGATGAAGCCAAATAAATATTCAAACGCAAAATTCATAGTGTGAAATGTTATATGCTAAATTTTGTACTGAATTGCAGAACACCCTTTCTAATTGTAAAGTTGAATCATGAAATCCTGCCTGTGTATGTGCAAGCTCTACCCTTGTTCCTGAACTGGTACTGGGTGAGTTTAGAGCCTGAGTGTACAAGGAATTTCAAAAATGGGAAATTCTAATGCCTTTCTTGAAAGTTCTTATCACCTGTAATGTGTCATTGTAATGAATACATGAGAGATGAGTGGGAAATAATTTAATAGAGCCATCCAGATGCATTCAATGATTGTAACGGTGAGTGAGTTTCCTGTGTGGGCTCCCCAGTGTGTGTATCACTTGGGAAGAATACCATTTATACCTCACACTGCCTTTCTAATCTCTGAATTACCAGCTGTGCATGGTTTAGGCATAGGACAGGTGGGTATTTTCTTCCGTATTAACCACCTTGAATGGCATCTTTGCTTTAACTCATCTTTTACAAATAGTACTCAATTGAAATTTAATTTTAAGAGCATAAACTTGGGAAAATAGAACATTTAATCACCAAATAAAAGACTAAATATGTCTTACTTGATTTGAGTTTAATTGCCATTAGAATAGTAATGTATTTAAAAATCAGAATAGGGTGGGAGGGATGGGGTGGCTGGGTGATAGACATTGGGTAGGATATGTGCTATGTTGAGCGCTGTGAATTGTGCAAGACTGTTGAATCACAGATCTGTACTTCTGAAACAAATAATGCAACATATGTTAAGAAAAAAAAAGAAGAAGGAGAAGATAGCAGGAGGGGAAGAATGAAGGGGAGTAAGTCGGCGGGGGAGACGAACCATTAGAGACGATGGACTCTGAAAAACAAACTGAGGGTTCTAGAGGGGAGGAGGGTGGGGGGATGGGTTAGCCTGGTGATGGGTATTAAAGAGGGCACATTCTGCGTGGAGCACTGGGTGTTATGCACAAACAATGAATCATGGAACACTACATCAAAAACTAATGATGTAATGTATGGTGATTAACATAACAATAAAAAATTATTTAAAAATCAGAATAGAATTTAAATAGAATTCAGCTCGAATCCCATTCTAACCTACATATTTGACCTGCAGTATATAAAAATATTCATATCTAAGAATGAAATAGTTACATAAATTCACATTTTTCTATTATCCAGTTAGCATATTGCCTAGTCATTAGTCTCCTTTAAAAAGACAAAAAAGGTATCATGTGTAATTCTTTCACTGATTCTATCAGTACTTTTCAAATTAAAAACTAAAGTTTGATTAAACATGTGGCAAAAGGTGCATGCCACATTTCTAGTACTGTACCTTGCACAATTATTACAGTTTTTTTTTTCCTATTTTCAAAGGGAATTCAAGGCCATCATGGTGCAAAAGGAGAGGTATGTTTCTTCATGTCTTATGCTCTCTTTTCAGTCCTTATTGCTTCAATTTTCAATGCTGTATAAATCTAGCCATTGACATCACAAACAAAATGCTTTTCGTGTTCTTCAGTTCTTAAATAGTGATTTTCATAATATGTGGATTCATTGAATTAGTTATGAAATGTTACATATTTGTGAACATTAATGGTTCTTCTAGATTAGGAGCTAAGTTTTTTTCTTTATATATATTCAACAAAGAACATGGTGTTTCTGTACTTGTCTCTCTAGAATTTAAACTCTTTGGGAACAGGACTGTGTCATATTTGCTGTTTCTCTGGCACTAAACATATTGCCTACACAATACGCTCAATGAAGAGAGGATATTTGTGGAGTTGGGTGGATGGGTGGATGGATAAATATATGAAGTTTCTCTTCTGATTAATAACAGCATTTCACAGCTGTTCCCTATATAATGTACATCATATATACATATGTATATAGTCATATGCATATCCTTAAGGAATTCTGTGATGCAGTTATACCTTCTGAAATATTTAAATAGAGCTTTTAAAGATTTCTTCTGATTTCAGAGAGGTGAAAAGGGAGAGCCTGGTGTCAGAGGTGCCACTGGACCAAAAGGAGAGTCTGGGGTGGACGGCCTGATGGGGCCTGTGGGTCCCCAGGGGCAGCGTGGGGAAGCAGGTCCTCAGGGACCTCCAGGATTGGATGGGAAACCCGTACGTATTCTGCTTCTTCCATAGTTCTTGTGTTTTCATTGCTTTTTACTTGGTACGTACATGTTATAACACCAAATAATTTGATGCAGGGTAGAGAATTTTCAGAACAGTTTATTCGACAAATTTGCACTGATGTATTAAGAGGTAAGTCTCAAACAGATTTTATTTCTTTTTCTTTTAAAGATTTTTATTTATTTGACAGAGAGATGAGAGAGGGAACACAAGCAGGGGGAGTGGGAGAGGAAGCAGGCTTCCTGCTGAGCAGGGAGCCTGATGTGGGGCTTGATCCCAGGACCCTGGGATCATGACCTGAGCCGAAGGCAGATGCTTAACAACTGAGCCACCCCGATGCCCCTCAAACAGATTTTAATAACTTTAAAGTTACTAAAGTAATACAGATTCTTCGTAGAAATTATAAAAGATATAATTAAGAAAATAAAGGACATTTATAAACCCCTGTTTTTTTCTAGATGAGTATGTTTATGAAGATGAAAATTACATGTACTCTTTTGTAATCTTTTTAATAAAGAAATTTATCATGATTTCACCATGAATTAAATTTTCTTTTCTGACATAATTCTGAAAATTTAATTCATAAATATGGATGTCTACAATTTGCCAGTTTCTTTTTTGAGGTTTGCTTTCACTTTTCCCTCCCATTTTAAGCAATTGCTACAATAAAATGATGACACAGACCAATGAGTATTTCCAGAGTTAAATTCCTAGAAGTGAAATTATTGGTCAACAGATTGGCATCTGTAAATTGTAAAAAATGAGTAGAGAGTTACTAATGCTCATTTGCCATTTAAACATAAGGGGTGGGACTTCTTTGTTTTTAAGCTCAGCTACCAGTCTTACTTCAGAGTGGAAGAATTCAAAGTTGTGATCATTGCCAGTCCCAACACGGTTCCCCTGGCATTCCTGGGCCACCTGGTCCCATAGGCCCGGAAGGTCCTCGAGGATTTCCTGGTTTGCCAGGAAGAGATGGTGTTCCTGGGTTAGTGGGTGCTCCTGGACATCCAGGTGCCAGAGGATTAAAAGGTACTTAACTTTATGTGCATAAGCAAATGAACAATAAAAAAGGGTATGGTTTGTATTCACCCTCTAAACTGATTTAATAGGCAAGGGTTCATCTTTGTTTTTATGATGCCAAAAAGCTCTTGTATACCTCAGTCTCTAGATAATTTGTCAACTAGTTAAAAAGCAAATTTTCTGTTTTCTTAAAGCAATATTCTGAAGTAGAGAAAGGTTAGAGTTTAAAGCTTGTGAAGTACAAATTAGAAAACGTTGACAATGCACTTAGAGATTTTGCCTGAGTCTTTAATAAGAAAGTCACAGACAATATTTCCTTTATTTTGACCTCAGTAACTTCTGTTACCTTATTGAAAAGGTTTTTTTCTCTTACAGGAAAAATTATGTTTTGCAACCAAACTTCCTAATGGTCCACAACTTACTTCTCTGTCTTTGAATGTTTATATGAAATGTCATTTGATAATACTTCCCTTTTCATTTACTATTATATGAACAATTTAGATGTTCAATCAGTAATAAATAAACAACTATGATTAAGGGAAAGGGCTAATAATCCCAAACCATTTTCCTTTTTAATATGTAATCCTTGTTACATCTTTCTAGATCACTGATAATTTTAGAAATTTTTGCTTCAAAAATTCCATTTTCCATGAGAAATAATGAATGGCAAGCTATTTTTAAAAGATTTATTTTTCTTTCAATGTGTAAATGAACAGCTTTGAAAGAAACAATCTAGGAGGAAGTGATTTTATAGGAAAAGTAAGTTTACTCCCGTCTTTGACACTCTGCAGGTCTACCAGGAAGAAATGGGGCAAAAGGGAACCAAGGGTTTGGGTACCCCGGAGAACAAGGTCCTCCTGGTCCCCCAGGTAAGACTTGTTATATGCTCATAAGTGTTGCTGCACATTTGGCTTTAAGAAAATCATCATCAACCTATGTCAAAAAATTTAAAATCAAGACATTTGTTTCCTTTTTTGAATGATTCACATTCAACACATTGAGCTCTAACTCCTAGACTTCCTCTATCATATTCATGAATCACTCAGGATTTTCTCTTGTTTATTCATTTGGATGCCTTAGAAAACTACTCTGTAGACTAGTTCTTGAATGGTTTCAGTCACTCATGTTTATCTAGTGTGTATCACTGTTCAATCTTTGATTCTCAAGGAAGCAGAATAACTGAAATGGAGGACTCTTAAGTCACCCTCTGCCAGCTGTGTTATTTAACTTTGTTATGCCTCCATTTCCTCATTTGTGAAATGGTGATGTTATGTGCCTCATGACATTATTGGAAAATGATATGAGTTAATACATGTAGGGCATTTGGAACAGTGCATAACAATCATGTTTTCAATAAATGTACTATTATTTTTAAAGATTTTATTTTATTTGAGAGAGGGAGAGAGCGCATGCGAGAGCGTGTGCGAGCAGACTCCCCGCTGAGCAGGGAGCATGATGCTGGACTTGATTGCAGGAGCCTGAGATCATGACCTGAGCCGAAGTCAGACGCTCAACTGACTAAGCCACCCAGGTGCCCCCTATTATTATTCTAGTAGTTATTACCTCAAGAAGCTTTTGAGTGGATCAAAGGATTCAACAGTCTTTATGTAAAATACGTGGAACAGTATCTACAGTTGTAGTTAAGTGCTAAATAAATGTTTCTTAGTAATAGCAGCAGGAATAATTAGTAATAGAAAGTACCTCAGACTACTCTGCCCCATTTCAAAAGCTGAATATTTTGTTCTTTTGAGTCATCAACTTTTTAAAAGGCCCAAATCCTAAATTAACTCTCCTTCCTTTGAGCATGCTAATTGAACTAATTAGGCAATGATTCACAAATGAATGCTATAACACCTTTGTGTGTATACTGATCACAATTATTGCATGGTAATGACTATTTAAATGTGGAAACTTAAAAATGTGTCTAATGAAAATAGTCATTTAACTGTAAATATGGCACAGAAGTGACTTCAGTGAAGTTTTAGATTACTGATCTATTCCCTTGCTAATATATAATGATATTGACAGAAGATATGCTGGAAGGAAGAAATGTTTGGGCAACCCACCAATTAAAATATTAGAATGTTAGCTCTGTGTCCTAATCAGCCCCATGATTGCTATATTAATATAGCTTAGCCCAGTTTTATAAAAATTGCTGATTATTTTTGAATAGTTCTTTTCCACATGGAAGGTATATAGGATTAGCAAGAGAGTCCCTCCTCTTTTCACATCTGTGCAAATATGTAAAACTTAAAAAAAATTTTTTTTTCAGTTTAAATTTCTTACAGAATCAGCTCTATCATCATCAACAGCCAAACTCCTCTGTTCATATATTGCTCATGTCCCATCTTAGGTCCAGAGGGCCCTCCTGGAATAAGCAAAGAAGGTCCTCCAGGAGACCCAGGTCTCCCAGGCAAAGATGGAGATCATGGAAAACCCGGAATCCAAGGGCAACCAGGACCTCCTGGCATCTGCGATCCATCGCTATGTTTTAGTGTAATTGTCGGAAGAGATCCGTTTAGAAAAGGACCAAACTATTAGTGCCTGATGCCTCATTCAGCAACCTAGGCATGGTGCTTTTCTCTTATGGCCTTTTGCATCTCAGGAAGATAACAACAATAATCCCTTGAAAAGAAACTAAAGTACCTCGGTGTTTTTATTATTTTTTTCTTAAGGAAAAATATATAAAAGATCACATATACTGATTCTAGAGACTGCAGTAATTCAAGAGCCCTTAGATTAGTAGCATTAACTAAATCTCAAGGGTTTCTTGTAAGTCCATTTATTTTAATCAAAGTTGAATCTTAACCCACCATTGCCTGTTACCAGTCAATTTCAGTCACTGTGAACTATTTCACATTCACCCTCCATGCAGCAGAGTATTTGAGTTCAATTTCATGTCTGTGTGAATTTCATGTTTCATATCTCATAGCACATGCTTGTCACATTAGCCAAAACACATGTCTGGTGTCGTTGGAAAGAACATCAGGGCTGACACTCGGCTAGGACCGACTGTGTTGCCCCACCAGCCATTTACTCCAGTGTCTGTCCTAATTGGGGAGGGACGGTGGGCTTTCAGGGTTTTGAATGATCACCTCTGAATGAGATGAAAGTGTTTCTTAAGTACATGTGCAAATCCTCAAATTATGCTGAGACAGTATTGATTACATGGGGAATGGTCAAAATTGTGTCACGTTAAAAATATGTTAGAAGAAAGTTTCATGGTACCTGGTCAGTATGTTCTAAGGAATTGCAGGTGGTTCAGGAGTGCTAAAAAGACTTCATTCTTCACACTTGCTTAGTAATTGGAATGTTTGTTGTATGCCTTCATCTTCCATTTCACTTATTATATGTGTATGTTCCTATATGTTAACTTTGATTTGTAGCAAAGCTAATGGGAATAAATGCTCTAGTCGAAAGGAAAGGTAACTCCACAGCTCCTAGTATGTGTTGATATTTTTAGCAGACTTTAAAATATTATGAACAGTCTTTGTGTACTGTACTTACTGCTTTTGTAAGGAACATGTTTGAGATATTTCATCCTAATCATGCTCTAAATTTTGTTACATGCTTGTTACTCCAAGTACAATAAAGTTTTGTACAGGCCTGTTTGCCGTGGTTTCTTTTTTATACATAATTTGAACTGATGGCTGAGTATAGTATCCATATCCCATAGTCACTTATTCAGTGGATATACTTTATTAAATTCTTTACCCTATTCTCTACAAACTTGTTCATCTGAAATAAGAACTTAGAAATTCGGTTGGTGTGCCACTCACATAAAGAGGTGCAGCACCTCCTTCCTGGCCCAGGAGTGGCTGTTGATCTGTGTTTAGTTTAAGTGACATGTCATTCTACCACTCTGATGAGGACCTCATAACATTCAGTAGCAGAGTTAGCACAAGGCTTGTTTTTGTTGTTTTTGCTTTTTTTATTGAAGTACAGTTGACACACAGTGTTCCATTAGTTTCAGGTGTACAACATAGTGTATGCTGTGCTCACCATCTGTCACCATGCAATGCTACAACGGTATAGTGTGGCCACCATCTGTCCCCATACGATGCTATAATGTTACTGACTGTGTTGCCTGTGCTTTGCCTTTCATCATTCCGTAACTAGAAGCCTGTACCTCCTACTCCCTTTCACCCATTTTTCCCATCCTCCCATTCATCTCCCCTCTGGCAACTATCAGTCTGTTCTCTGTATTTATAGGTATGTTTCTGCTTTCTGTTTGTTCATTTTGTTTTTTAGATGCCACACACAAGTGAAATCATACGGTATTTGTCATTCTCTGACTTATTTCACTTAGCATAATATGCTCTAGGCCCATCCATGTTGTTGCAAATGACAAGATTTCATTCTTTTTTATGGCTGGGTAATATTCCATTGTATGTATGTACACCACGTCTTCTTGATCCATTCATCTATCAGCAGATGCTTGGGTTGCTTCCATAATTTGGTGGTTGTAAATAATGCAATAAACGTAGGGATGCATATGTCTTTTTGAATTAGTGTTTTTGTTTTCTTTGGGTGAATATCCAATGGTGAAATTATTGGATCATACAGTATTTCTATTTTTAATTTTTTGAGGAATCTCTGTAATATTTTGTACAATGGTTGCACCAATATGCATTCCCACCAACAGTATACAAGGGTACCTTTTCTCCACATTCTTGCCAACACATTTTTTTTTTTTGGTTTTGGTTTTGTTTTGTTTTTTGTCTTTTTTGTTCCAGCCATAGCATAAGGCTTATTTTGATGTTCTATCACCCTGGGTATCTTCTTATGCCTAGCCCCCAGCTAATTATGGCAATACCTGTTAAGACAGTGATAAAGGAGCAGAACGGGGTAGTTAGTATCACCTATTCATTCATTCAACCACCATTGACCATGTGGCCATTGAGTGGCAGGAACGGTGCCAAGGATACAATGGTAATATAGTTGCACTGTCTGGCCTGAAGTAGTTCATGTGTAATGAGGTGCAGGGAAGTAAACAGGTGATTCTAATACATTCATTCTAAGAAAGGAGAAAACGCTATGGACTAAAATGTCTCTCCCAAATTCATATATGGAAGCCCTAACCCCCCTGTGACCATATTGGAAACAAGGGCTTATGGGTGGTAATGCAGGTTAAATGAGGTCATAAGGATAGGGTACTAATCCTATAGGACTGATGCCCTTGTAAGAAGAGGAAGAGGGAAATCTCTCTTTCTTCATGCATGCAGGAAGTGTCCTGTGAGCACACAGTGATAAGGTGACTGTCAGCAAGCCAGGAAGGTAGCCCACATTGATCTTGGACTTCCAGTCTCTAGAATTGTGAGAAAATTACTTTCTGTTGTTTAAGCCCACCAGTCGTATACTGCCATAACAAAATAGTATTTTGTTATTTGCTGCCCAAGCTCACAGGACAGATGTGAGGGTAAGGAAAAATGTCCTAAAGCAATCAAAGATTATAAACTGAGATTTGAAAGGCTAGGAGGTATTAAACATAACCAAGTCATGTCAAGATAATGAAAATGAGCAAAGGCTGGGAAGGGGGGGGTGGTTAGAAAAAACATGGAGAATTCTGAGAATAAAACCCGTGGAATACAAACCATGTTACTTTTAGTATCCTTACTTTTTTTTTCTTTAAATTTTTTATTGTTATGTTAATCACCATACATTACATCATTAGTTTTTGATGTAGTGTTCCATGATTCATTGTTTGTGCATAACACCCAGTGCTCTATGCAGAATGTGCCCTCTTTAATATCCATCACCAGGCTAACCCATCCCCCCACGCCCCTCCCCTCTAGAACCCTCAGTTTGTTTTTCAGAGTCCATCATCTCTCATGGTTCGTCTCCCCCTCCGATTTACCCCCCTTCATTCTTCCCCTCCTGCTATCTTTTTTTTTCTTAACATATATTGCATTATTTGTTTCAGAGGTACAGATCTGTGATTCAACAGTCTTGCACAATTCACAGCGCTCACCATAGCACATACATACCCTCCCCAATGGCTATCACCCAGCCACCCCATCCCTCCCACCCCTCACCTCTCCAGCAACCCTCAGTTTGTTTCCTGAGATTAAGAATTCCTCATATCAGTGAGGTCATATGATACATGTCTTTCTCTGACCAATTTCACTCAGCATAACACCCTCCAGTTCCATCCACGTTGTTGCAAATGGCAAGATCTCATTCCTTTTGATGGCTGCATAATATTCCATTGTGTATATATACCACATCTTCTTTATCCATTCATCTGTCGATGGACATCTTGGCTCTTTCCACAGTTTGGCTATTGTGGACATTGCTGCTATAAACATCGGGGTGCACATACCCCTTTGGATCCCTACATTTGTATCTTTGTGGTAAATACCCAGTAGTGCAATTGCTGGATCGTATGGTAGCTCTATTTTCAACTTTTTGAGGAACCTCCATACTGTTTTCCAGAGTGGTTGGCGGGGATGCGGGGAAAGGCGAACCCTCCTACACTGTTGGTGGGAATGCAAGCTGGTATATCCTTACTTTTAAAATTAACATTTCAAGGTGAAATAGTTCTGTAATTTATCATGGTATATGTTATGTCCTAATATATTTTTGCCTTGGACAAATTTGAGTTTAACCATCTTACACTGACTTTCAGAAATGAATAGGTGAATGATTTTGTCCTGCAAGGACAATATGCACTGTAATGGTGTGTTAGCACCATGCTACATACAAACTCTTTCACTGTAGTTACAACAAGCATGGCTTCTGTAGTGGGTTTGCCCAGTTCAAATCCCCACTTCCTTTTTCCAGTGAGTCTTCTGAAAATTTATCTAGTTCTTCATGCCTAGATTTCTTCATATGTTAAATGGGGAATATTAATAGTACTTGTCTAATAGTAAGAATTAGTATTTTGAGGATTAAATGAGATGAAACAGAAAATTATTTCATGGAATAAAGTCGGCTAATTTACCAGAACCATATGGGTGGTGTGAGATTAGCAAATCTTGAGATGAAATTTTAGCTATTCAAAAGATTTTATATCTGTGTATCTCATACTGATAAAACTGATTAATCTGACTCATTGCAATTCAGAATGAAACTCTCAGTCTTAAGGGTAAAAATAATTCTGAATAAAAGCTGTCTGCCAGATTTTGATCAACTTGGTCGAAAATGTAAAGTAGGAACAATTGAGGGGAAAACCCCAACAAACCCTTGGGGTTTATAGTTTTGGGGTATTTTATCTGTATTTTATTTACTGTATTTTTTTATTAACTCTTTTTATCCCTGGTTCTTAGAACTTCACCAGGTAATTTAATTTCCATTATGAAGAAGGTTTTAATTGAGATGGAACTGAAAAGTCATTCTTTGATCCCCAGTAGAGGGCAGCAAAATACATATAACCACTTCTACAGAACTTAGCTATGATAATCTTTTTCTCATTGCATTAATCATATTAAACTATCACCATATATATTTAATGTGAAAATTTTCTCAGTTTTGCAAGCTTGGTTAGATTTATATCCTCAAAACTATTAATTCAAAGAAGAAAAAAATCAACATTTTTGTAAGTTGAACACCTAAGCCAGTTAATGAAGCTGTTTATATTTTGATGTCTTGCTTATCTGCTTTATCTTTGTAT